AGAATAAATTTCTCTTTGTAGAGCCATCCACTTGTGGTATTTCTGTTGGAGCAGCACTAGATGACTGAGACACTCTCCTTAAAATACTTTAATGCTAATCATTGCTTTACTTTACATCATTACTCATCAGTTGATGTCCAAGTCCTTTATTTAGCATGTTATACAATGACTACTTCTTTTGTCCTTTTACAACTTGAACTTGGTACTGAAATAATATTGAATGTAGGTGAAGTGACTTCCCTTCTCTAGGGCACTAATCAATAAGTTTTCCCATCTATCTATAATAGCAGCAAGTCTAGAGCATCTTGTGCCATAAATGCACTTTCCTCATTTGAGTCTGGGGATTCTCTGGAGCTAATGAGTGTTTGCAAGGATGACACTCAAATTCATGAAGTGTTCCATATTTTGGAGCCCTGGTGGCAAGTGGTTAAGAGCTTGCCTGTTAACCAAAAGGTCAGCAGTTCACATCTACCAGCCACTCCTTGGAAACCCTTTGGGGTAGTTCTATTCTGTCCTATGGGGTCTCTATGAGTCGGAATTGATGCAACAGCAATGAGGTTTTTTTTTTTTTTTTTTTTTTTTAATGAGTGTTCAGTATATGCACATCATATACTGGCTCACAGGGGCCTGTCAGTTATTACTTCTTGTTTCTGGGAGTTGCTGACGCATGTTGCTTCCTGTGTCTTGCGTTTTCTTTAATGTTTTGAAGAGTTGCTAGAGCATTGCATCCTATGCCCCAGGGTTAGAGTTTACTGTCTCTTGTACTCAGGGGAAGAGGTCTGGTCTTTTGTGTTTAGGAAAAATGTTGAAGGACCTCAACTCCTGTGTCAGGGATGCTATCTCCTGTTGTGTCAATTTTGTTAGTTAGATTGCATTGTCTCCTACACTGTCTGTAGGAGAGAGGGCAAAAATGACTGGTGCAAAGAAGATCTGGGGACACTTGGCACAGATGGGAGATTTGTAGAGGCCAGGTGCTTGGCCCTGCCCCACCACAGGCTCTATGACCTCTCTTAGCAATTGTTTGTACAGTTTGCTGGCACAGTCCTCAGAAAGCCTTTGTATTCTTCTTTTACTAAATTTAAAATTAAAAGAAAAGTAAAGTATTTCTTCAACTCATATTGCTACTCAAAGTGGAAAGCTAAAAGTAGATACAGAGAGGTCTCATGTCTCAGAACAATTGGGAAAGAGCATATTCATTTATAAAAGCGAAGAGCATTCTTTTGTGCTTAATATGTAAAGTACATCAATGTCAAAATAATACAACTCAAGATTATGAAATAAGCACTTATAAGTTATTACACTGGGCCATCCTTTCTCATTTCGGCCCTCTCTCATTGATTATTTGCCTGGCTACTGCAGACATCTGAGTGTGCAAACCTTGCCTTTGGCTAAGATGGTCAGTGCTCCATTTAGTAATGTAAACTGCATGTATCTTCAGCAGGATGAAGTCTTTGATCAATCAAAGGGGAAAAACAAACAAACAAAACAAACCAGTTGCCATCGAGTCAGTTCTAACACATAGCAACCCAGTGTGTTGCAGAGTAGAACTGTTCTCTGTAGGGTGTTTGAGGCTGTTACCTTTCGGAAGAAGATTGCCAGGTTTTTCTTCTCTGGTGCCTCTGGCTAGATTTGAACTGCTAACCTTTTGGTTAGTAGTCAAGCGCTTAGCCATTTGCTCCACCTAGGGACTCCTAGAGGGGAAAAGTTCCTCTAAATATAGATTTAGAATGTGGTGCCTCAGAACACGATTATGTTGGGGAGATATTGTGACAGTTTTGAGGCATGTCCACAAATTCTTTGACACTCTTTCCACTGAAGGGTGGAACCTGTATCATCTCCCCCTGAATCTAAGTCAATATTAGTAACTGGTTGATTATGGTGGAGCCCTGGTAGCACAGTGGTTAAGAGCTTGGCTTCTAACAAAACAGTCAGCAGTTCGAATCCACCGGCCACTCCTTGGAAACCCTATGGCACACAGTTCTACTCTGTCCTATAGGGTCGCTACAATCAGAATTAACTCGACAGCAATAGGTTTCTTGGGTTGTTTTTTTGGCTTTTTGATTGATTATATAGCTTCTGAGGGTAGATATTAAAAGGTGATATAGCTTAAATTGCCTTTGTAGCCCTGAACCGTCATATAAGGAGTCCAAGGCCGCCATGCTGTGAGGAAGTTCAAGGTACCTAAGGAGACCCCTTGTAGATGTTTCAGCCAATAGCACCAGTTGAAATCCCATGTGAGTGAAGGAGCCTCCAGGTGACTTCTGCTTTGGGCTATTGAGTCACCACTCTCTGCTTTCAAGTCCTCCCATCTAAGACTCTGGACATATTGGAGCAGAATAGTTATTCCCACTATCCCCCTTCTAAATTCCAGATCCACAGAATTTGTGAGCATAATAAAATGATTGTTTTAAATTAGTACATTTTGAGGTAATTTGTTATGCAGCAATATATACTCAGAATAGACGTGCATATTTTGTGTTTCGCTGTGGATGAATTTATGTGTGTTTTAAAGAGTTACTCACAAGGTATTAAAGACCAGAGAAAAGCAGGAAGGATGAGGTTGTCTATCTTTATCTGAAGTACAAGAGTTGGTGATTTCATGGCAGACACAGTTAGCCAGTCTTTGTGAAAGGTACTGGTTGAATACTATGATTGCTTTGTCCAAGTCAAGTGGGGAAGGTGACAGAGTAGGGAGAAGGGCAACGGATTCTATACTGGGAATTGAGCATAGATTCCCCCTAAAGATAATGGTAATGGGTTTCCATTATATCTTAGTTTCCTAGTGCTGCTGTAACAAAAATAACACAAGTAGATGGTTTTAAAGAACAGAAATTTATTTTCTCACAGTTCAGGAGACTAGAAGTCCAAATTCAGGGTGTGGCTCTGTGTGGGAGGTTCTTCACTGTCTATTTCAGCTTCTAGTAGCCGGCAATCCTTGGAGTTCCTGGGCTTGTAGATTCGCCTGCTTCCATCATCAACTTGATAACATAACCCCGTCATAGAAGTTAAAAGCAAAGGTGTTGTAGGCCAGTAGGCCCATGCTAGAACCTGGCTCTGTCATTTGCCAGCTGTGTGACTTTGGGAAATATCATTTAACCTCTCCAAATCTTAGTTTTCTCATTTTTACAGTGAGGGAAAATAATAGTAGCTGAATCAAAGGTTAATTTTGAACTTTAAGTGGGATTAATATATGTGTTTACTTGGCATAGTGCCTGACACTTGGCGAGTGCTTGATAAGTAGTTGATATTATTGTTGTTGTTAGTATCGCTAAGTATTCCTATGAAGAAGAGTCAGAGATCCTTTGCTTCCTTCTCCAGCTTACTTGAACCTGCTAGAAGTTTCACCCTCCATTTGTAGGTTGTAGGTGAAGCCCTCATTGTCCTCACCTCCTTCCTTCTTGTGGACCCCTTGGTCTCTGGGGTCCAAGAGGCCCCAGAAACTGAGTCTGTGATTTATCCTTTGACACTGCCACCCATCCAGTCTGTCTCCATGGTTTCCCTGTTTCCACAGCCGATGGGGACATACATTCGCCTCATCCTTCCCCTTCTTTGTTTACCCCAAAGATAATCCTCAGGGTCTTGATTTAAAATGGTTTTATTGCTTGATTGTACAGAGAGTAGATAATACTACAAACATGATTTATGGGGAAGTGACACAGTTTTGAGATGCTTATACTGTTCTCACAGCTATGATCTGAGGTCTGTAAATGCTACACCAAGTGAAAACAAGATAGTATTCATGACAGCCCTAGATCAGTGCCTGGCACATGGCAGGTGCTAAGTGGTGGTCCACCTCCTTTTGTCATGATAGCTGCAAGGTTTGGAGTGATTTGGGGGTAACTCCAATGTTGGGGCCACACACAAGCCTCTTTGTAAGGAGGTCTTGTCCCAGCGAGTGAGGGAGGGCACCATGGCCTTTGACTTTCTTCTAAGTTTCAGTTTCCTGCTTGAATCTCTGTCACTCTGTGGGAGTAATTCTAAGTTTTCCTCCCTTCTCCCCTCCCTCTCTCCGACCTTTCTTTTCTTCCATCTTTTTCTTTCTATCCCTCTTACTATTTTAATTTATCTCTTTTTGTCATGGTTTGAATTATGTCCCCTCAAAAATGTATGTATCAATTTGGCTGGGCCATGATTCCCGGAATTTTGTGGTTGGCCTCCATTTTGTGATTGTAATTTTATGTTAGAGGGTTAAGGTGGAATTGTAACAGCACCCTTAGCCAGGTCACATGCCTGATCCAATCCAAAGGGAGTTTCCCTAGGGTGTTGGCCTGCACCACCTTTTTACCTTACAAGAGATGAAAAGAAAGGGAAGCAAACAGAAAAGCGGAACCTCATACCAAGAAAGCAGTGCCGGGAGTGGAGTACGTCCTTTGGACCTGGGGTTCCTGCGTGGGAAAGCTCCCAGACCAAGGGAAGACTGATGACACAGACCTTCCTCCAGAGTCAATGGAGAAAGCATTCTCCTGGAGCTGACGCCCTGAATTTGGACTTGTAGCTTACTGGACTGTGAGAGAATAAATTTGTCCTTATTAAAACCATCCACTTGTGGTATTCCTGTTAGAGTAGCACTAGATGACTGAGACACTTTTCTTTCTTTTTTTTCCCATTTATTTCTCATTCTCCCTTCTCACTCTCTTTCCCTTCTTCTAATTATTTCTCTCCAAGTTCCCCCCCTCCCTCCCTCCATCTCTCTCTCTCTTCCCTCCTTTCTTCCTCTCTCCCTCCTTCCCTTCCTTCCTTCTTTCTCAATTGCTTTTTTCTTGTTGTTTGAATCTTTCTCTATTTTTTCCTTTCCTTTTTCTCTCTCCATTCTCCCTTTCTCTTCCTTTCTCCCTTCCTTCTTTCAGCATCTCACATGATATGGTTTTGTGCTAATAAACAGGAAAAGACAAAGAAAAATCAGATGCATGCCCTAATCTAAAGAAGCTCATCTGCAGTGGGTGGGAGAGGACCCAAAGGAAACGGAAGGGGAGGACACAATAAAAAGCATCCTGCTACGCTCACTGGGTCCGGACTCGCCCAGAATTCTTCCACTCCTTGTCTCGAAGCTTTGCCCACTGGATTTTTCCTGTGATGGTCTTGGGAAGGTCTGAGACAAATTCCATCTGTTGAGAAAGATCAGTCCAGGTGGGTCATCAGTGTCCCCAGTGGGGTTGAAGTTTACAGAGGAACTGTTCTGAGGTGAAGGGAAGCTCTTAAGCTTAGAGACTCCAAGAGAGTGAGGACTGAGCCTGGAATACTCGTAAGGCAGCACCTTATGCAATAAGAAACATCATAAAGTACTCTGGGACAAGAACAAGAGGTTGTCTATAACTGGTCATGAAGTCAAGTCAATAGGTCTTTGACATACTCTAGGATGGAAGAGGAGCAGCATATGGATGAGCATGGCATAGTGGCCAGACCCCTGAGCTTTGACATCAGACTATGCTCCAGGCTACCCTCTACCACTTAACTGACTTTAGATAAGTCACTTGCCTTTCTGAGACTCAGGTTCCCCACTGAGTAAACTGGAGGATAATAACAACCTCACTGGTTTGTAATGAGGATCAAATAAGATTATTTAGGCTAAGTTCTTGGCATGGAACAAGCACTCAAAAAATATTAGCTGTGGTTATTAATTTGGACTAGAGAAAGTAGACATCTAAGAGTCAGGAAACCTGGTTATGAGTTCCATCTCAGCTACTTCCTGTCTATGTGCCCTTGGCAAAATTATAAAATCCCTCAGACTTCAGTTTTCTCACTTGACAAGAGGAATATCTGTGGTTGGGGATCCTCTATCCTTAATATTCCTGAGTCCTAAGATATGGATGATAAAGACAATTCACTGAAGCTTTCAGTTATACGGCTCAGCTTTCCAGGGCATTGGCTTTTAATGAAGATAATAACAATAGGAATAATTATGTGGAAAAAGGGTCTTCTTAGCAGCTGATGTGAGAGCTCTTCCATAAGGCAAGACTAACTTTATTGAAGAGAGAGTTTGTTAAAACCATAATGGTATAGCACAGGGACTGGAAAACTATGGCCTGAGGGCAAAATCCAGCCCTCTGCCTGTTTTTTTAAATAAAGTTTTATTGGAACACAATGATGCTCATTCATTATGTATTGTCTGTGGCTGCTTTTGTGCTACAAAGGTGGAGTTGAGTAGTTGAGACAAAAACTCTATGGCTCACACAGTCTGAAATAGTTACTTCCTTGCTTTTTACAAATAAAGTTTGCCAACCTGTGGAATTGACAGAGGGATAGAAGGAAGCCACAAGGGAGAGCCAGGTATTATACTAAGAAGGAAGCTACTCTGAATCATAAAGAAGGGAGCAGAAGCTGAGCTTGGTGGAAGGAGAGGGGAGGTGGAAAGAACCCACTGGATGAGGCATCCTAGAGGAGAGACTTGTAGGAAGAGACACATCAACTGGGAATATTTGAGTAACACACTTTATATTGTGTGATAGGATCCCTTCACTTGTTGTTGTTGTTAGGTGCTGTTGAGTCGGTTCCCACTCATAGCAACCCTGTGTACAACAGAACAAAACACTGTCTGGTCCTGTGCCATCCTCACAATCATTGTTGTGTTTGGGCCCATCGTTGCAGCCACTTTGCCAGTTCATCTCGTTGAAAGTCTTCCTCTTTTTGCTGACCCTCCACTTTACCAAGTGTGATGTCCTTCTCCAGGGACTGGTTCCTCCTGATAACATGTCCAAAGTATGTGAGACGAAATCTCGCCATCCTTGCTTCTAAGGAACTTTCTGGCTCCACTTCTCCCAAGAGAGATTTGTTCATTCTTCTGGCAGTCCATGGTATATTCAATATTCTTTGCCAGCACTATAATTCAAATGCATCAATTCTTCTTTGTTCTTCCTTATTCATTGTCCAGCTTTTGCATGCATATGAGGTGATTGAAAATACCATGGCTTGGGTCAGGTGCACCTTGGTCCTCAACAAAACATCTTTGCCTTTTAACACTTTAAAGAGGTCTTTTGCAGCAGATTTGTCCAGTGCAATATGTCGTTTGATTTCTTGACTGCTGCTTCCATGGGCTTTGAATGTGGATCCAAGTAAAATGAAATCCTTGATAACTTCAATCTTTTCTCCACTCATCATGATGTTGCTTATTGTTCCAGTTGTGAGGATTTTTGTTCTGTTTATGTTAATGTGTGATCCCTTCACTTGGCCCTCCAAAATATTCAGTTACACTTTAAAATCCATAGTATGCTTGGTGTGATTGGATTTCTTGGGAAATCAGATGATCATAATATCATTTAAAAGTACTTATTATATGCTTATTGTGTACCAGTCACTCTTCTAAGCACCTTATGCCTTACAAATTTTAACTCATCCTCTTAACAACCCTCTGAAGGGGTAACATTAAGGCACAGAACTTGTTGAGTAGGTAGTGGAGGTGGAATTTGAACTTAACAGTCGGAGTCCAGAGACATTGCCATGCTGCCTTGCTGTCAGTTGAAGGCTGAGAATCTGTGTAGCGGACTCTGTGATGTGCTATCCAGATTCTCCTGCAGGAATGAAACACTTTCTCCCCCACTGCCAGAATCCCCTACTTTTTTTTATTGTGATGAAAATATACACAACAAAACATATGCCAGTTCAACAATTTCTACATGTCTAATTCAGTGACATTGATTACATTCAAGTTGTGTAATATTCTTGCTATCCTTTTCCAAATCATTCCACCACCATTAACATAAGTTCAATGCCCCCTAAGAAAAAACTCCCTCTTTCCCCCTCCCTCCCTCTCTCTGTAACCACTAACGATCTTTGGTTTCTATATATTTCCTTATTTCATATTAGTGAGATCATATAGTATTTGTCCTTTTGTGACTGACTTATTTCACTCAGCATGATGTTTTCAAGGTTCATCCATGGTGTGGCATTTACCAGGACTTCATTCCACTTCATGGCGGAGTAATAGTCCACTGTATGTATCTACCACATTTTGTTTATCCATTCATCTGTAGATGTGCCAGGCCCCTCTGGGGAGTGCCTCAGCTGAGGAAAGCTGCCTTCCCCAGGTCAAGCCCCCTACCCAGGGCAGCCTGCATCCATGCTGTTCTACATGAGGCTTTATCCCGCTCCCTTACCCCAACTAAAGACGACTCTGATGGGTCATCCTAACTTCACAACTCCCTGTGGAGTTGGCCGAGGCCTACCCTGAGAGTGGATCATAGTGCAGCTTTACCCTCTGCCTAGTCCTGCTCTCTTCCCTTCTCTTCTCCAGATGTTAATCCCCAGAAGACACCCTAAAAAATCTCTTGCATGTTGATATCCTTCTCAGGGTTTGCTTCACAGGGAACCCACCTGTGATGGTCAGCCTGTGCTGACAAAGGGTCAGTGAAGATGTGGGTTCTGTGAGAATCTGGAGGGCTCTAGACGTAACATGGCTGCTCTCCTCTTCTACCTCACACTCAAAAATATTTTTTTCCTCTTCCCAAGGCAAGCTCCTATCTCATATCTAACTCCAACAACTAGGCCCCTCCATCCAGTCAACCCCTGTGCTTTAGTTCTCTGCCCAGAGTGAAAACAGACTTAGTGGATTCTGTGCTTTTGCCCTTTCTGGTAGGAGAGTTTCCATTTTCTCTTGAGGAACCACCTTTCCCTCGCACAATCCCCGCGATGCCTGTAGGAAAGCCCTTCTCCCAGCCTGAGTGCACTGTCTCCAGGGGTGGCCACATGACCTAGAGCTGGCCAATCAAAGTGCTCTAATCCCTCCCTTCCTTACAGGGATTTGTTTAATGATGCATACGTGGCCTAAGTTGGTTCAATGATAATCAGCCCAAAGACTTTTGGAGAAAAAGATGGTCTTTTGCTACAGGGTTTTGCTAAGCTGCTAAAAATGTCTGCTTGGAGCTGCTGCGGGCCACCACAAAGGGAGAGCATTTCAAGAAATGAAGCCAATCCTGAAAGAAGGAGAGTCAAGGGGTGAAAGAGACAACCGAGAACACATCGTTTGAACACCTGGGGCCAGCCATGACTGAAGCTTCACCCGCCATCCCTCATGGACTTTTTGGTTGTGTGAGCCATAAGCTTCAAGTTGGATTTCTGTCACTTGCCACTAAGAGAATCCTGAATAATCTAGCAGGACCTCAGTGCAGAGAGTGGGAATACAGACCAGGCATTGGCTACAACTTGTTTCCATGGGAGCATCAGACTTTTAATTCAGAGCGAGCCAAAAGCTGAGGCTATGTTTTAGGCATCTAGACAGGTGCTGGATTGTCCTTTTGGGCTTTCTAGGTCATAGTCATGTATAACTAGGGGTCTTACCCTTAGTCTGAAGAAGAGAAGTATGAGATAAGAACTCGGTCTCCTCTCCCAAGTTTGGGGGAGCATGGGAGCTGAGAGGCCTCACCTTCCTCGGGTACTTGTACGGGGCTGTCACTTTCTTCACGTGCTGCTGCAGCTCCTTGGTGAGCTGGTGCTGGTCACGAGACAAGAACTCTGGGGCCAGGACCACAAATGCCTTCACCACCTGCAGCGGAGATGAGGGACAAAACACATAGGGTCAGAGTGCTTCATCATTTTCTATGACGCTGCAAAATCAGTGATAAGTTTTCTGCCACAGCTACCGCCTTTATACCCCCTCAATACCCTCCATCTGGTAAAGGGGAAAGGAGGAGTTGGGAATAAGAATGACTGAGATTTCAACTCTCTCTCAGATGGCTTATTGGGTGGGCAAGTGGGACTTCAGATTGAGACCAGGATCTCCCCAAAACTCAAGGCAAAAGAAAGCAATGGGGGGAAACTAGATATAGGGAGAGAAGGGGAAAAATAAAAGTTGAGCACCATGAACCTAGACAATGTATTTAACCACTCTAAACTAAAGTTTAAGGAGTCTAGTAGCACAGTGATTAAGTGCTCGGCTGCTAACCGAAAGGTTGGTGGTTTGAACCCACCCAGGGGTTCTGCAGAAGAAAGATCTGGTAATCTGCATCTGTAAAGATTACAGCCAAGAAAACCCTATGGGGCTTGTGTCTCTGTCACATGGCGTCTCTACGAGTTGAAAAAACTGACTCAATGGCATCTAATAACAACAGCAACAGCAACAACGAACTACAGTTTGCCATCTGTAAAATGAAGATAAAATTGTCATACTTAATTCATGGGGTATTAAATGAGATCATGTACAGTATGGCTTAGCTCAGTGCCTGGCAGACTGAGCCTGGTTTGGGCTCGGTTTGTCTAGTGGCTCATGATTTCCCTGGCTCGTATAGCCCATCCCTGCCAGAGGTGTGATCTTGCCAAGCTTAGACACTGCAGAAATGTGCTTTGACATTCATCCACACCTCTTCACCTCAACCTTTCCCTACACACATACCCAGTTCCATTAGCCTCTACATCAGCATATTTCTATAACCCTAGTATTCTAGGAGTTCTTCTTCCCCTTCTTCTTACTATGAGCCCATGGCTCAAGGGTTCTATCTTTTGGCTTAAATCCCTCCTCTGTTCTCCTGGTCAAGGATCAGATTCTGATTCAAATACCAAACAGCAGGACAGAGTCCCTGGAACCTCATAATAATAGACCTGATATAGGACTTGCTGTGTGCCAAACTGTGTTCCAAGCACTTTATACATATTAACACATTTAATCCCTACAGCAACACTATGAAGTAGTAATTATTATTATCCTCATCTCACAGAGGGGAAACTGAGGCTCAGAGTGGTTAAGTAGCTTGCCCATGGTCATACAGCTAGTAAGTGTCAGAGCCAAGATTTGAACCCATGCTGTCTAGGTCCAGAGTCCTTGCTCTTAACCACTGTGCTACACTGCCCTTGTCTTCCTAATCATACCACCCCTTCACACCAGGCTGCTCTCCCTCTTTACCTCTCCTCTGATGGGATCTGGGCTGCTGACCACAGCTGTCTCAGCCACAGCAGGGTGCTCCATCAGTGCATTCTCCACCTCTGAGGGCCCAATCCGGTACCTGTAGAAGGACATCATATTGAACACTCAACCTCTAGGCCAGCCCAAAAGTCTAGAGCCAGCTGGGTATCAACACAGATTCCTTTCCCAGCCCAGAAACCAAGCTCACCCACTGGAGTTAATGATATCATCTGCCCGCCCCAAGAACTGGAAATAGCCATCTTGATCCTTGATTCCCCGGTCTCCCAGGAGCCAAAAATCTCCTCGAATGTTGGCTGCTGTCTTCTTGGGGTTGTCCTGGTGACCACAGAACAATAGAGCTGTTGTGACTGCAAGGTCTAAATCCCCTGTCCCAGGGCCATACAGATGTGCTGGTTGTGCATTTTATAACTTAAACAACTGCACATGGTGGACCTGCCCTGAAACCATGAACCCCAGCCCCCAGGGGAATTGTATCTTCCCCCTTTATTCCTGTTACTCCACCCAGCATCTCTCATCTACTCCCCTGCGTCTAGACTGATGGATAGTATTGATGCATTCATTCACTTCACGTTCTCGGGCATTTCCCCAACTGATTCCACCTTCTCTTTAATGGCCAGTCTAACTCCTGCTTCACTCCGTGATACCACTCAAGGGTACCAAGGTTGATTAGGGATTTTCCTTCGCTGTTTATCAGATTTGAAACTTCTAGAGTTATACTAGCAAACCCTCAGGTCCTTGACCACAGCACATATTTCTACAATGATTACGCCCCTCTATTCAGCTGACACACTTGTCTGTGAGCAGTGAAAAGGCTGGTGGTTAGCCCCTTGTGAATGCTTCTTTTCATCTTGCCCAGTATCCTGGTGTAGGGCAGTGGGCTCAGACTTGTGTTCAGTAACAGGATTAGACGGCAGCATAGAGAATTCTTAGTCGAGTTCCTTCATTTGGAAGATGTGGGATTGAAGATCAAAGAGATCAAGAAGTTTCTTGAAGACCAAACAGCCATTATAGATGGCAGAGCTAAGACCAAAAGCCGAATCTCTTGACCACCAGCTTGACACTTTGTCCTGGTCATCATGCAGCCCCTGCTGGCATTAACTCTGCGACCTTAAGTTAATCTGCCAACCCCTCTGAGTCTGTTTCCTTGTCTGCCAAATGGGGAGAATCCCATGATTTGGCTACCTCCCTGGCATGTGAGAATAGAGTGGGACAGTGCACACCAAATGCTCGGAGAAGTGTACAGTGTGGGCTATGCCAGGATCTCTAAGGCTCAGTTTTCCTCATCCGTAGGATGGAAGTAATTTGGATTTACCTCCTTTCTTTTTATTTAATACACTCTTATGCAGCGCTTTCTAAGTGCCAAACACTGTTCTAAGTAAGTGTTTTGCAAATATCAAGGCGTACCAACCATAATACCCTCAACGAGACGGATTGACACAGTGGCTGCAACAATGGGCTCAAACATAGCAATGATTGTGAAGATGGCACAGGACCGAGCAACATTTCATTCTATTATATATAAGGTGACTATGAGTTGGAACTGACTCGATGGCACCTAACAGCAACCCACAATAATGTTATGCAATATCATTTTATAGATGAGTAAACTGAGGCACAAGAGATTACTGACTTGCACAAAAACTTAAGTAAGGTTTTGAACTCAAGCAGTTTGGCTTCAAAGACCTCATAAGGTAGTTGGGAGGATTAAATATGTATGTGAGGTGCTTATGGCAGTGCTTGCCATATAATAAGCATTCAATACAACTACTATTATTGGATTTATTATTTAATTCTCTTGAGGTTAGAAAGAATGTGTTTGAGATCTTCCCGGACCACCATCTAGCAGTGTGGACTTGGGTGAGTCTCTGGCTTCACCATCCTCCCTGTAAAATGAGGTAGCTAGACTTGAGAATCTTCTATCTCTAACGTTTCAGGATCTGGAGACAGGGATGCCTCCAACTTGATGGTGAAGACTCGGTGTAAAGTGCCTCATGCAGCTCTAAAGCAGGGGAATGATATTTGGGGAAGACAGCAGGGTTGCCCCTGGGGGAACCCAGTCATATATATAGTTCAGGGGCAATAAGCTTTCTGGTATGAAACAGGATGCTTGGCGGTAGAAGAGGAAGCTAGAGAAAAGGTTGAGACACCCTGTTCTAGAGCAGAGCGTGTGTATCATGATTTTGAAAAGATTCCCAGTTAAACCAAGTGTAAGACCCACTGGCATAGGCCAAGGGCTATAGGAAATACAGTGGGATTTTAGTGGCAGGCTAAGGACAGTAAAGGGTGAATAGCCATTCTCTTCTCCCTTAGCAAAGCCCTTATTCTTGGATGCTGGACCCTCCCCTTGCCCCCATGTCTTGCTAATACCTTTTGGGAGATCCATGACTTTGGGACCCTTGTCATCCCTCTCAGAACCCCCATACCTACGGGGAACAGAGGGAGCAGAGAACAAGTTTCTCACCACATAGCCAGAGAAAATGCCTATAGGCTTAATGGGTTTGACTCTGACGCCTATGTCTCCTTCTATGCCGGGGGGCAGGATATCGCCTTTATCATCTATGACCTGGAGGAAGAAACAGATTGGAAGAATGATCCACGTAACAGGAGATGGCTTGAATGGCAATATGAGAGAGCTGAGTTGGTCAAACAGAAGACCCTCTTGCTCTAGTAGGGACTTAAAACAAGAACCAGAAACCTAGATCTCTAATCCATCTGCCTTAGATGGTTTATTGGACCAGAGAAGCTTGGGAAGATTCTTCTGGCTTTCAGAGTCCAGGAAAAATAATAGCCTCCCATTATCTTTGAGGCCGTCCTCACCTATAAACTTGGAAATCAGGTCAAAATTGAAATTGGCTCTGCTACCTTACTAGTTGTGTGACTTTGAGCTACTTAAGCTCTGGGCCTCAGTGCCTTCATCTATAAAATAGAGATAATTATACTTATTTTAAGGGATTGTTATAAGAATAAAGTAAGACACTTGAAAAAGGGCTCAGTAAATTGTTATCCTAAGTGGTTGGGGCCCTGGTAGCATAGTGGTTAAGAGCTCAACTGCTGGGGGAGGGCGTGGTCAACACGGCAGAGTAGTTAGACGCTTCCTATATCCCTCTTACAACAAAGACCTGGAAAAATAAGTGATTTGATTCTATGTGAATATCTGGCAGCCCTGAACAAGGCAAGGTTAAGAAATCCATCTGAGTGATACAGGAGAGGGAGACCGTTTGGAAGAGGTGAGGAGGGCTAGAGCCGCGGCGGCAAAACTGCGGCACAGCAGCCATGCTGGTCCGCGGTGAAGCAGGCGAACAGCTGTGCTGTGCACGCGCTCGGTAAGCAGTTTCCACATTGAGAGAGACGCGGCAGCAGAGATTCTGCTTGGACACTCCGAACCAGTGAAGAGCAGCTCCCAAGAGGCTAGGATAAGTACATGAGTGCACCATTTCGCAGGGATTAAAAAAAAAAAAAAACCATTTGGGAAAAACCTCTCTCCCTTTTAACTCCTCCCCGCGCTCTGCACCGGGAGTCTGCTGGGTTGGAAGTAGATCCCAAAAGGCACCCTGACCCATTCTTCTGGCCTTGGAGAGGGAACAAATAAGCTGCTGGCTCCTGTAGGCCAGGAACACAGGGTTGGCACAGCTCCTTTACTGGCCACAGGTATCAGGGGTCCGCAGACTCTGAGTGCCTTACACCCCTGTATAGACTTGTGGGGACCCATCTCAACAGCGTTAGTCCTCACTGCTACAGTACAACAGGGCAAACATCTGAAGATTAACTTCAACTGCTTCAGCTGTGACCGGGCAGATTTGGACCCTCAAAACAGCCCTGTCCCTTAAGTAGTCACTTTTATAGATCCGCAGCAGGGTCTGGAGGACTGGTGGTAGCACCTAAAGGGCCTAGTCACCTGCTACAGAAGTTCAAGAAAAAGTGGTGCCCTCGAGTCTTTACAGCCAACAGAGTGGGGTGCTTTTAGTCTGGCTGCAAGACTCACCTACCTACTCACCCTAGAGAATAGGGACATGCTTTCCTTTCAGACTCTCAGGGGCAGCCGTCAGCCCCCTGCCTGGCTCAGCGCGTGATCCCTGACCACAGCCAGAGTCCAATGCCTGCACCAATCACCCATGCCTCTCTAGGACTGGGGGTGAGAGCCTGCATCACACACTTGGTGACCGACTGCCTGAACACCCAAGCTGAACCCATATAGGAAAATTTAACGGACTCCTGTGTGCACATACTTAGTTGCAGAACTAACTATGTGGTGACAGGACATTAGAGATCCAAAGGTGTCAAAAATCAAACTAGTGCACACGAGCAGTCTATTTGGGCATATCAAAACAAAACAAAATAAGAAGCTAGGTCTCACTAAGCAAATACAAAATAAAATTATAATAAATTATTGATGGCTCAGAGACAACAGTCAATATCAACTCACATAAAGAGGCAGTCCATGATGGCTTCAGCAAGCCCCCAAAATAAAGAATCAGTAAATTCTCTGGAGGAAGAGAACTTCTTGGAATTACCAGAGGCAGAATACAAAAGATTAATATACAGAACTCTTCTAGAGATAAGAAAGGAAATTCGACAGAATGCATAAACATCCAGGGAACATTCAGACACAGTAGTAGTGGAACTTAAAAAAGTTATTCAAGAACATAATGCCAAATTCAGTAGGCTGGAAGAATCAATAGAGAGACAGCAATCAGAAATCCGGAAGATTAACAATAAAATTTCAGAATTAGACAACTCAATAGAAAGTCATAGGAGCAGAATTGAGGCAGTAGAAGTTAGAATTAGTGACATTGAAGGTAAAGCTCTTGATGCCAACTTATATGAGGAAAAATCAGATAAAAGAATTTAAAAAAATGAAGAAACTCTAAGAGTCATGTGGGACTCTATCAAGAGAAATAACCTACGAGTGATTGGAGTACCAGAACAGGGGGGATAACAGGAAATACAGAGAAAATTGTTGAAGATTTGTTGACAGAAAACTTCCCTGCTATCATGAAAGATGAGAAGATATTTGTCCAAGATGCTCATTAAACCCCACATAAGGTAGATCCCAAAAGAAAGTCACCAAGACATATTATAATGAAACTTACCAAAACCAAAGTTAAAGAGAGAATTTTAAGAGCGGCTCAGGATAAAAGAAAAGTCATCTACAAAGGAGAGTCAATTAGAATAAGCTCGGACTACTCAGCAGAAACCATGCAGGCTAGAAGGCAATGGGATGACATATTTAAAGCCTTGAAGGAAAATAACTGTCAGCCAAGAGTTATATATCAGCAAAACTGTCTCTCAAATATGATGGTGAAATTAGGGCATTTCCAGATAAACAGAAGTTCAGGGAATTTGCAAAAACCAAACCAAAATTACAGGAAATACTAAAGGGAGTCCTACGGTTAGATAATCAGTAACACCAGCTAACAACGCAAGACTGGAACACAGGACAAAGCAACCAGATATTGACTCAGATATGGAAATCGAAAATACATCAAAGCTAAAACACTGAAAATAGGGAAACAGATATCAATATGTAAAAAAAAAAGGATAATATTACACCAAAAAAATAGCCCCCAAGAAGATAAAATACTTAGGAATAAATCTAACCAGAGATGTAAAAGATATTTACAGAGAAAACTACAAGACACTACTGCAAGAAACTAAAAGAGATCTGCTAAGTGGAAAAATATACCTTGCTCATGGATAGGTAGACTCAACATAGTGACAACGTCAGTTCTACCCAAAGCAGTCTACAGATACAGTGCAATCCCAATCCAAATTCCAGCAGCATTTTTTAATGAGATGGAGAAACAAATCACTAACTTCATATGGAAAGGTAAGAGGCCCCGAATAAATAAAGCATTACTCAAGAAGAAGAACAAAGTGGGAGGGAGGCCTTACACTACCTGATTTTAGGGCCTATTATACTTCCATGGTAGTCAAGACAGCCTGGTACTGGTACAACAACAGATACATAGAC